TGGAGGTGTCGCTGTCCCGCTGAAGCCGAAGACGAAGATCGTGTGGGGAAAGCGACCACATGTGGATGACGAGGGCGATGTGGATCCTGGGGCGAGCTCTTCGGGGCAACCAAGGACCGAGCCGGCCCCTGATAGGGGCGCCGGGTCAGGAAAGGATGATGATGTGACCCTTCCTGACATTGGGAAGCTGTCCGTGACGGAGAAGAAGAAGGACGACATGGACGTGGATCAGGAAGGCTCCAAGAAGGATTCCACCGGGACGAAGGAGCCCACGCCTCGGGGTACTGAGGCTGGGAAGACAGACCCGAATGAGGTTACCAACTTCAAAGGGGCTACCTTCGAGGAGTATCGGAAGACTGCTCCTGCCTATGAATACAGCGGGGAGGGAGATGATCGAAGGATCCTTCCCAAGAACACTCCGATAGACATGGAGAAGTCGCTGCCGGCCGAGGTAGCGCTCTTGATTCCGAGGGCAGTGGCCACGCAGAAGGAGGCTGAGGAAGCCGAGAGGGCCGCGCTGGAGGCCATCCGCGGGGATTATAGGCTTCCGGATGTGGGTCAAGAAGACAGGGAGAAGGTCGACCCTTACACCGTGACGGACGAAGACTTGGCTGCGTCGGTAGACGCGTTGACTAGGAGGTTGAGCAACATGCCTGAGTGGTCGGGAAATTTGATCGACCCTGCGAAGTCTGCTGAGCTGGTCGCGGCGAGATGGGGCGGAAAGGCGAGCTATGACAAGCCTGAGGCTCCTCTGACTGAGGCTGGGATGAAAAGTGCGTCATTGGAGGATCGTGCCTATGCACTATCGCAGCTGAATCAGATGGTGAACTTTCACAAAAGGCACCTATGCTCTGGGCGAGGGGCGCCTCTGGTGAGTGCAGCTGCCCCTAGTGGACCCTTTGCTCCTGACCAGCTGGATGATAGCAGGAAGTTCAGGCCTAGTGGGGCGGCGAGCAAGATGACCTACAATCTTGTGATTCTGGATGGGAAGGAGGATTATCTTGCCGATAGGCGAGAGATCAATCCAGAGTTAAGGGAAACGGGAGTTATCCCTGATGAGGCCGTCACTTGCCAGATTGTGGTTCCCTCGAAGACGAGGTTGGGCGAATACCTCCCGAACTACGAGGAGACCGCGGGCACCGTTGCGGGACGGGAGGCGGCGAAGGAGTTGATGAGACTGCTCTCGTGCGATTTCGACGGTTTGGTCATCAATTCAAAGAGAGTCTCGGAGTTATTCGAGGAGCGAGTGCTGAAGGAGACCGGACGCGAGGCTGGAAACTGGGTGAAAAGTGACCAGGCCATCTGGTTCCTGAAGGAGATTTCGGGCATGGAGAACGCTGAGATGTCTTGGAAGTTCTTCATTCCGACGCTTAAAGCTTTCCCGATAGGGCAAGTGGAGGCGATGCTCATGGTCATGTACGACGGGGATGGCGTTCTCCTCAAAGAGAGCACCAGGTTGGTTGCCGTTAGGCACACGCGGATCGGACGCGACTTGAGTTACAGTGCCGTTAGGCACAGGTATACTCAGGAAGATGCACCTGGCGGATCTCTGATGTATGAGATGCATTGGAATGAACTCCCCATGGTGGGATACGTCATCATGAAGTTCTCGGACTTTCGGAAGGCGGTTCAGCTCCAAAGGGTGAGGCGAAATGGAAAGGCCATGATCGAGATATTGATCACGAGGCCCGATGTGTACGAGACCATTGGGGATGGTAGGCAGGATGAGGGCCTGATCCCACTTGTGGGAGCCATGGCGCCGGATGCCGAGGTATCGCCTTCGTGGTATGTCAGGGACAGGCTGCGGAACTACTCCGGTAGGTACGTGGTGGTAATGGTGGATCTTCGGGTGCACTGGTCCTTGGTTGGACCCGTGTTTTGCCACATGGGGGCTTGGAAGGCGGCATATATGTACGATGATTACACGATAGTGTACCATCGGGCATGGGACTACGGTGACTTCACCCCCGTTAGGGGAGAGCACAGGCGGTCACGGGAAGAGATCAGGCTGAATGTGACTGCCACGTTCTGCTTGAGGTGCGCAGAGTTGATGCCAAATGGGATGCACTTGTGTCCCGGGTGCGCGCTCCCGGTCTTTTACCCGAACTGTATCCCCAACGCGGAGGAAAAGGACTTCGAAAGGTGCCACATCGTGCCGGAGTGGGTGAGGACCATGGGGCAGTTCAAGCCCGGAGGATTCCCTCCGAAGTGGTCGGAGTCATCAAGAGGAATTTGATTTCCTATTCGATGGCATCCGATCTGAGGATGACGGTGCAGAGCGGCATCAGACTTCCCCCTTATCTTGGTGAAGACAAGGGAGGTGTCGATGCGGCGTGGGATGAGCTGGCGAAGGTGCTCTTCCAATTCTCCTATGTGTCCGGGATTTCGGCCTCGGATGCGTTCGTGGAGAAGTGGGTGGCGAAGCACCTGATCAAGACCAACCAAGTCGATAGATTTGAGTCGGTCACGGAGTACTTCCGGGCCAACCCAAGACACGCTGCTCAGTGGGGTAGGCGTATGACGACTTCCGTTAGGAAGTTCGCTCGTCATGACACGTACTTGTCATTCTATATTCCGATGGCATACGTGATTGGCTCCGCGGCTGGTCATCTGACCCCATTGTACCCGACCCATCGAAAGGACGTGGACATCCTGGAGAGTCATGCGTTGATTTCGCAGCTCAGGCAGTACATGGTATCGGAGACAGGGTACGATGAGAAGAAGAGGTTGAAGGAGGCGATAGCCAAGGTGCAGAAGGCGATCAGCGCCGGACAGTCGGAGCCTCCCGCACCCTTCCGTGACCCGTTCGTCTACGTTAGTGACGAAAGGGTGAGGACGGTTCTTGACGGTCGTCAACCCGAACCATTGAACGTGGACATCGAGGGACTCCAATCGGTGCATCATGCTGCGCCGGGTCCTGGTCCCAAGCAGGAGCCGGTCCCCAAGGGCGGAAAAGGAAAAGGGAAGAAGGGGGAAAAGGGCGGTAAGGGCGGTAGTCCTTCCGGCCCACCACCAAAATCAGGTGAAGTGCCAGGTAAAGGATCTGGTAAGGGCGGTAGCCCATCTGTCCCAAAGGCGAAGGATGATGCTGGACCTGCTCCGATGGAGGTTGATACAGCAGCAGCTCAGCCGAAGAAGTCTTGGGCCGAGATGGTGGTTGAAGGGGCCAGGCCGAGTGCTAAGGCTAAAATGACCCCGGTTCCTAAGGCCGAGCCGAGAGGGAAGGCTGCTTCAGCATCTGAGGCGAAGAGTGCTCCGGCTCCAAAAGCTGTGGCTAAGGAGACGAAGCAGGCCGAACCGAAGGTTGAGGTCAAGAAGGAGAAGACAGGCGGAGGTGACGCTCCCGGCGGTAGCCGCGGGTCGGCCGAAGGGCAGAAGAGAGAAAGGAAATCCCGTTGGGATCCCGACGAGGCTGCGAAGGAGTCGACAAAGCGGGAGGCGTCCACGAGGCCTGGCGACGTCGACAGCAGACCAGGTGCGGCAGCGAGAGAAGCTAGCGGGGATGATCTTCACTCCGCGCTTGGCAGATCTTCGGCAAAGGATGCGGTAGCGCCTTTGACGGCCTCCAAGGCGATGGCAAAGAAGCCTGAAGGCGGGGAGATCCGGCTGCAGTCTGCTGAGCGGGCTGCGGCGAGCCCGGTGGAGGGTCACTTCCTGGTGCTGCCTGAGAGTTCGGTGGTGGACGCTTTCTTGTCGATCTCCACCAACAGAGTGCTGAACAAGCAGGTCAGGGATTTCATCAGGAATGGTGAGGACGCGTCGGCACTGGAGGCTCTCAACCAGATCGTGACGAACTCTCGATCTGGGAGGAGGCGTAGGGAATCGGATGTTTCCCGTACTCCTTCTCGGAGGTCCGTTAGGACCGTGGACACCAGGGATTCCAGAGAGTCGAGGAGGCGCAGATACCGTCCGCGGCGCGAGGATGATCGCGACAGGAGGAGGGACGATGCTCGTGATCGTCGTGATGATGATTCACTCGATCGGGAGCGAGATCGAAGGCGAGATGATCGCAGGAGATCCGAAAGGGCTCCCGGACCGCTGAGGCGCGGAGGTCATGTCTCTCCCATACCGCTGCTGGGCTGCTGGACGTGTTCATCAGGAAGCAGTGTGAGTGAGAGGGAAAGCAAACTGATGGGGGGTTACTCCCGGGTTTGCGGAATTCAAGCATTTTTCAGGTACGCATGGTCAGGGGTACCTCTTGCCGTTAGGCGAGGGTACTAATGGACATACGTTATCTTTTATCTCATGGCTTCTGATAAGAATTAAACTTCTTGCATTGGTGATGCAAACAGTTGTGACCTAGTGTCGTCATGTGGACCTTTCCACAAGGTATGTTGGACAGCGTTACCCCGATTAATTCGGGGTGGTGGCGGGAATTTAATGCCCGGGATGTCGCGCAACTGCCTTTGTGGGTTTGCTCCACCGCTGACGGCGGTAGTGTCCAGCTGTTTGCGGACACATGCGAGCAGTTAAATCCTATCAGTAAATGGCACGCTCCACCCGTCATATGACGGGCTCCTCGTGAGGGGGGTGTGATTAGCCATGGTTAATATCATCATCAGGGACGTCGCGTTAGTGACCGACCTGTGGTGTTTTGGCTCAAGTTTTGGGTTCCGTCGCGCCTCGAATGGGCGTCGCCGAACCCCTGCGTCGACCGACGGCATCTCGGGGGAGAAAGAGACCTCGGGCCGCCGCCAGGTTGGTAGGGACCAGTCGTGCGGCCTGTTGTCGACCAAGGTTGCGGGTTAACCCTTTTCTTGTTTGGTTTGTTTTCCTTTGGTTGTTGTTCTCTGGTGTGTGGGAAACCCTGATCTTTGGGACCGGGGATTGGTTTGCTTTTGGGGAACCTTTCTTTTGTGGCTTGTTTACCCCAACTTACCCATTGCCTGGGCACAGGCTCGTGCCCGAATCACATACTCTAAACAAGGAGCGTTGTTGGCATTTGTGTTTTCTTTTAAGCATAGACCTCACACGTGTCCGTGGCCGGACTGGCGGACTAGGAGTGTCTGCTGAATGCGGAGCTGTGGATGGCGTGCACGTTGTCCAACGAGGCGATGCGCCACGCCAAGGTCCACGGCGACGGGCGCACGCTGCGAGACTTGGCGCTGACCCGCGCGAAGATCGCCATGGAGGACGCGAAGCGCGAAAGCAACACGTGGCTGTGGGTCAAAAACAGGTCACCCCAAAATGGAACCCTGGTAAGTGGCAACCTGCACTAAAACCTGCAAGTTCCAGGTTCTTTCATTTTGACCCATACCCACGGTCTCAAAGCCCAAACCAGTGGTGTTCCCTGTGTGGGGAGCACCTGCTTTCAGCGAAACCCGCAGGAGGGGAACCACTGCGAGGCCATCCGCACGCTGCGAGAGCTCTCCGCCGCGGATTTGCGGCAGACCACGGAGGCGGCGCTGCTGCTGGCGGACGCCTACGAGGCACGGAAGCAGCAGCTGCCGGCGCAGGAGGGCCTTGGTATGAGGAAAGTCGAGATAACTGGCCCCAAACTTGGTTTTAGGCCATTGAAATGGGACCGTGAACATGTGTTTGGCCAACCGTGGGTATGTCAAAGGGATTTTGGACCACAATCAAGTCACTGTGGGTTTCCTGTTGACTCCTTAGAAGGCATGTGGAAGGGGGACGTTCAGGATCCTCTGGTTTGGGGATCCCGTGACACTCCCAAAACTGCCGCAAGGCCCCCGGTTCCAAGGAGAAGCCCAGGGCCGATTGAAACCGGCTCGCAGGAGATCTTTCAGGAGACGCAGCGGGCGCTGGCCTTCGCATCCCCGGAAGCCAAGAAAAAGAAGGTGAAAGGATCCGTCGGGGGCTCCACCTTTAACCCGGAGAAGAGTGAGGAGCTGTCGGTTTTGAGCTCCAAGCAAGTGCTGGCGCAGTGCAGCATTGCCACTCGGCAGCTGCGCTCAGAGCTTCTGCGGCTCACAAAGTCTCAGAGCTCCAAAGAATGGCTGCAGGACATGCAGATGGCCTTTGATCGGCATTTGCACATCGGGCAGGAGCTTCTGGCTGCCAGCTTTCACCGGCGCCACGTGGCGGAGTGCCTGGAGTTCCTGGAGCTCATGTGCCCGTTGCTGGAGTGCAGGGAGATGGATCTCACCAGAGACCCCCAGAACTCCGCGGCCTCCTATGAGAAGCTGGAGGAGTACGTGACGCGCAGTGTCGCGGCCATCTCCGCGGTGCGGAGCTCTTGTGACGCGCTGCTCAGCTCGCTGCCGGTGGAGGGGGTGGAGCAGGAGGCCGCGCTGCCGGCGGAGATCCTGGTGGCCAGGCTGGAGGTCTGGGAGGCGCGGATCCTGGCGCTGAGGCGCGGCTTCGCGGCCAACGCCAAGAACCACCGCCGCTTGCAGCGCCAGCGCATGAAGTTCATGCAGGACCCCAGGAACCCCCCCCTCTTCGCCGTGGGCCGCAATGAGGGAGGCAAATTCGGGGGCTTGTTGACGACTCATGGCAGTCATTCCGCAAGAGCCACCAGCAGCATTGTGGATGACCAAGATCGAGTTGAACGCTGGCTGAAGCTTGTCGATGAACAGATCACCGAAGAGGAGAAGATGTCCAACTATGCTCGTGATATGTCTGAAGTTGAAGACTCCTTGGCCAAGGCGGGCCATTGCATACTGCGCCCTCGCTTGTGCCCAGCCTTTTGCCAGGTGTCAAATGCAGTTTCTCTCCTGGAGCTTGCGGACACGGCCTCAGCGCTTCGTGTTTTATGGTGACTCAAGAGGTTCAAGCATTATTTCTAGGCAGAAGTTGCTTTGGCTGGCACCCTCTGAAATGGCCTGTTCCTCTAGCAGCACTTGTTCGTTTCTGTCGTGGATGTGTCGTTTTGGAGGATGCCTCTGTTCTGCCTGCTGAGGTTCGCACGGAAGAGAAAGAGGTCGAGGCTCGAAGGGCGCATTACCCTCCTGTCCGCTAGCATGGAACCCACCAATCCGTCAGGGCCAGCAAGTACAAATACGAATGCAATGCATGATCCATCAGTTATTCGACGTAGTTATGACGACGATCCATTAAGTTGTCATAATCCATGTTTAAGGAAAATGGTTTTCCGGGAGCCCTCAGTCAAGTTCCATGTTGGCGGACAGGAGTGTAGCCCGGGCAACAGACGCGAGCAGTGAGCACTCGCAAAGCGACGAAGGCAGAACGCTTTGCCATTTGCGGGCATTGCTTGCCAGGCCCAGCCTGGCGAATATCCCCGCTTCTGGTCAGAGGCAAGGCGTTGGCGATATTTCGCTTGTTGAAGCGCAACCCAACGCCCCGTGCGCGGCTTGGAGCGGCCCGGCTGGAAGCTAAGCTGAGGCCAAGGCCGAGCTGGGCAGACTTCAGCTGGAGCTCTCGGCGCGACAAGCCACGTTGGTGCGGAGTGCGGGGAAGAACTTGGACGACGACCCCCCGGCCGGCTGAGACGGCTCAGACGGCTCAGACGGCTCAGACGGCTTTGGTTTGGGTCAGAAGAGGGCTTTTGAAGTTGTGTGGCCAAGCAATTGAATGCCCAGAGTGCTTATGGCTGCTTGGCCCTGTGGAACCATGCGGAATGTTCCGGTTGGAGGTGTCCGCTGCCAACGCAGCCTGGGACGCGGGGCAGGACACGGAGGTGCACGGCTGGGGCCTAAGGAGGTTGGTTTCGGACCTTCGGATTACCTTCAGTCCTCAGCGTCTCAAAAGGGGATGATGTCTCCGAGGCATGAAAGCTGGCGAGCGGTACAGCAACAAGCTCAACGGGCTAGATCCTAGTCAGGTGCGGCCGCGTTCGGGACAGCCGAAAGATCCGGGACAACCGACAGGTCTTCCAACCAGAGGCCGAGGAAGGAGAAGCGGAAGTGGCGGAGGTGGCAGATGATGGCAGATGATGGCAGATGCATCTATGATGTGAATCTTGTGCCAGGAAGACGCTGAGGAGGAGACTCCGGCAAACTGTCCTTTTTGCAAAGTCTGGTGTAGGATAATGTAGGATAGCCTTTGCAACCGCAAGAAGCTCAAAACGGTCCCATGAAATGCTGGGTTTCCTTTGCTTCTGTTTGACAAGGCGATCTTCTTGGTCCAAATCCCAAAGGGGGGTTTTCCCTGCTGCAGGAAGGCCTATTGAACTTCACAGACTTTGCTCGGAGCACACTGTGCGAGGCGCGCCCTTGGGCACGGGGGTTGTCCACTTTTAGGGGGGGGTCCCTATTGAAATTCACAGCTTTTCGGGATGCGTTCAAATGGCCACAAGGAAGCCGACCCGCCTGGGTCCCCTGCTTCGGACGGCTGCATCAAGTCGAGATGTGGGAAAGGGCCTGACCTACACGCAAGACCACACCTCAGAGCTGAAAGCTTGGCCGCCAAATCAATCAGATAACCTTCAATCAAGCATGCTGCAGCATGCAAGCTATTCGGGTTCCCGTGTGTGCGGTGGTCAACTCTTAGGATGCTCGCGAGTGATCACTTGTGGTTAAACGGTGAGCTTGTTTGAGCAGACCAATAATACTGGGGTATGCAGCGTGTTTATAGATCAGATGTTTGCTTTTCACTTCCGCGAACTGATCATTTGATTTGTATCCACATCAGCTCCACAGGTGAACACCCTGCTGGTTGGTCAAAGATGATACACCACATTGCTTTGTGCTTCCCTGTTCTTGTCAGACTAGTCAGACTAGATTAGATTCTGAACAGCTCAAGGGTGTGGCCGTTCGGTTGCCACAGGCGGCGTCCAGTGCCTTGGCGACCCAGAACCTTCCAGCGGCTCAGCGCGCCTTCGAGGTGCTTTGAGAGCAACGGATCGTTGGCCACTTTTCACGAACGCCCTCAGATGTTTTCACATAAATCCCCATGTCCAAACGGCCCACCAAATACAAACACACCATGGACGTTAGCCACGTTTTGGAAAGACCGTTAAGTCCCAGTTTATCTTAAGACACACCCATGCGTTTATGCTTCACGATTTTCTGCGGTTCCTCAGCCTGGTTGGATGCTGACCTGTGAGGTGCTGGGATGCCAGGCCTATGGGTTGCGCTGCCCCATGGCATCCTTTGAGCTCGGCACCCAGGGGAAGGGAGGGCCTTGCTACGCAGCTTTTATTTCGCCGCGTTGGTGCTCGGGGCATCTCCTTTTTTGGTGGTTGTTCAGGGAGGCCAAAACGAAAATGGGGAGGTTTCCATAGGTTTCCTAAAAGCAGCCACACACACACGGTTGTATTCTCGCAAACTTCGGCCTGGGGCGGAGAGGTTCCTTTGCTGGCTGCAGAGCACTGAAGCTGCGACCTCAGCTGGTCGCTCTGCACCAACATTGGCCTTACATTGGGGCGAGGTCTGCATGCGGGAGGAGAGAGTCTTCAAGGACTGGCGTTTGAACTTGGTGAAAGAGTCATTTTTGGGTCGGAGATCGAAGCCAATCCAGAACCTATGACATGGCATTGCTTGGGAGTTGTGAAGTTCTCGTAGCCTGTCGACGGATCATGCGGGAGGCTGCAGAAGGGTCTAGATATATTATTTCTGGAAAACAGAGCACAAAGAGGAAGGCCAGGATCTTTTAACTGCACTCCTCCACTTCAGATGGCCGAACAGTTTGGATGCCGGATTCAACCAATTCTTGCACTTGTTTTGGCATCCTTAAAGGCAGAATGCACATTGAAAACGTCACCTGAAGGAGACGCTGCCAGAAGACCATGACGAACGTGTTCAGCTCCACTTGCTCCTTTCTCAGAGCCGGATTCGGCACGTTCTGACGCCGGGATGCGATCATGTCATGCCTTTGCATTGCGCAGAGGGCTCGGAACTCTGAGATTGAGAAGCCTGGAGCAGCGGTGGCCCTTCCCTGAAGAGCTGGACGCGTACAAGGCGAAGCTTCGCTCATCTTCGCAGCTCGAAAACACGAGAGCCTGTAGAGCCTGAGGCGATCAAACAGCGGATGGAGATGGAGTCGCCCTTCTTCCGACGTATGCAGCTGGACTGACTCACACTGTTGCACTGTTGGCTCGTGACTCGGAGAGTCGGAGAGGGTGGTCATGGATCCACAATGGATCCATGGGCCCCTGTTTTGGGCAAGCCACTTGTGTCTTTGAAGGACAAGCTGCCATCAATCGAAGAAATCCTGCTTTCTCATCTACCCGCGCTCACGCTTGTGGCTACTTGGACACAATGAAGCTATGAGTCTTGAGAGTAACATTGTTATAGTGTGACCTCTCTAAGGTGTCTCTGCAATTCCGTGGCAACTTTGTTTTCTTGGCAGCAGCTGGCTCAGCGCTATGAAAGCAAGCCCACTAAATGGGAGATTCTCCGAATGGTCGAACCCCCAAAGATGGACTGAGGCAGTTTGCACACCTTCCGAGACCGGAGATCGAGCAGACCGCGTATCACAAATGCATCCCTTGACAGCAAGACACACCGTGGTTCCGGAAGAGGCGCGAAGCAAAAACATGCAGGGACACGCAAAAACAGGGACCTAAGGACTGCATGGGTATACCGAGGTGCAAGGAGCCATCAGCCGAATCCAGGGTATCAGAAGCCAGGACCTTGGCGACGCTTGTCAGGGTTTCGGCGGCTTGGCAGCGGTTGATGCAGAGGTCAGTTGGAGAAGCAATTGTTGACATCCCCAGAGCCAGACCCACAGCCAGACTCTCAGATACACATTCGTCGAACGACGTCTAGTGATTCCAGTGATTCCGGCAGGTTGCAGGAGAACTTGCAAGCCACGGTCAAGGAAGTGGAGACACACCTGGTGGAGCCGCTGTCCCGACGATTGGAGGCATCGGAGCATGCTTCTGGCTGTGAGACCTTCGGGCTATGTCAGGCGAGTTTTTGGCCATGTCAAGTGCATGCCAAAGGCTCAGAGATGTTTTGAGAAAATCTGCGCGCGTCTTGTTTCAACAGGACACACCCATCTATTGGATCTCCATGTTCAGAATATCTCTTGGATCTTTGCGTTTGAGGCCGAACTCTCAGCAAGCCCCAACCCTCGGCAGATGCTACTGCTGCCAGACGCTGCCCTTAGCACCTTGCCGCCTGGCCCCCGAAAGGCTTGCGCTGAATGTGTCTCCGTGTCTCTGGCCCAGGTTCGAGACCATGGACTCCATGCTCCGGCTCTTTGGGAATCCTGACAGCCTATGCAGGCGCCATTGGCGCTCGTGACAGGGCATTTGGCACTTGACTGGGGAAAAAATGATGCAAAGGCATCACCGGTGTCCAGAGAGATCCAGAGATACAGTCGCTCTCAGGGACCACTCCCTACACATGCTGGCCAAGCGGGTGCGAGACACCATGGAGGTCTTGGAGAGCTCGGCATTGAAGGCGACGGAGTCGAAGGAACAACTTCCCCGAATGCCAACCGGATCGGAATCTGAGGGGGACCCTTTTCGGATTCCACTTCGATCAGGTGCCTTTGCAGGGCTTCAAGTCGAAGAGTACGACTTTCCTGGACAAGGCTTGCTGCAATCCAACTGGTTTCATGATGCTTTGCTTTGGAAATCGTCTCGAAAGCATCCCCTAGCCGGAAGTGCTGTGAACAACCTGGCTCAGGCCTAGGTTTGATTGCTGGGGCCCCAGAAGACATGTTTTGCATGTTCGAGGCACGGCGCGATCTGTAAATTGCCCCGCATGCCGTGTAATTTGTCAGAGCTGCCTTCATTTGAAAAGCGGCACACAAATATCAAGATGTGCTTTGGCAGGCTCAGCATCAGAGAGATGATCATGAGGTGAGTCATGAGCGAACGCTTGTTGTCGGCAAAACTAAGAAAGCAGTCAGGCAGTCCTGAAACTGTTTCAGTCGACTTGTGACAAGGACGTTATTTCCGAACATTACAGCTTGGACAAGTGCAGTCTCACCCAACTTGCCCCGCAAGGGCAGCATGAATTCGCCCTGCACAGCAGCGGCAAAATGTGCTTGCTAAGGCGAATGCCTGTTTTATTTCGTAAGTTCTACCTTCGATAAAGCAAACAAATATGAATATAGTGTATATGTTGGGATCGTTTTATGAGGCTGTGGTGGAGGCCTTCCTGGGTAGCTTCTGCGCGCGAGTTTGCCCAGAGCCGTCCGTTGCCGGTTGCTGGCCAAGGGCGAGTCCTTGACTCAGGTGCAACGACATGTTTGTCGCCCTAAACTCCGTGAACTGAAGGCGGATGTGAGGCAGACGCTCTTTGAAATGTTTGACCCAATGACCGAGTGGCAAGATGGGAAGAGGGGTGCGGAGGTTTGGGTAGTGCCCGTTTGCTGGCAACGCAGTGTGGTGTGCTCTAGGCGGTAGAGGCGAAAGACCGATTTTGACTTGTTTGTATTGTCTTGCAAACAATGCTTGCAGGTGCTTGGAGGAGCTGGGAGCCGGGGGTCGTAGTGCTTCGACCGAAATTTGTTTGCAGCATCCGCTCAAGCCGGCGCATGCCAGTTAGTTTCGCCATGTTTTGCAAAACACTTCTTGTTTCGGTTGCTTGTGCAGCGGCACTGCGAAGAGATGATGTCGGATCCAACTACCAGCTTCCAACTGTGGCGCTCGCGAAAGGGACCCGACTATATTCCTGCCAGCCACACGAGCTCGACCCGCACCGTGACTTGTGGACGTTCATAGGTTTCGAATACTTTGGGTATTGCACTGTTACATTGGAGGCTGCCACGAAGAAGATGGCCGAGATGGGTTGGCAAGGGGAGCCTGAGCAAATTGGAGAATTTGATCCCCAAGTAAGTTACGCCAAAGTTTTTGAAGTTGTTCGACCGTGTGAGATGGTGCTTGTGGATGGCAAGAACAGCAGTACCCTGGTTGAGCGTTTCGGTCCCAGCGCCGTGTTTCAAAACGCGAAGACCTTGGACATGCCAAACTGGATATCGCAGTTCAAGCATGCCGAAATCATGTCGCAGATCAAACAGAAGGATGGTGTGGTACAATGTGACGCCGGTCTCGATGTTGCAGTCTTCCACGGCATTTCAAGCAATGACTCCAGTGCTTGCATTCGGCCAGTCGAGCGGGATCGCCTCCCAACTGCTGCCGAAATCGCAGACCAGCAGCGTTTGATCTCTTCAGCTAGCTGCTCTCGGTTTACATGAGTTTTCACGACGCGTTGTATTCGTGAATCAGAAGTTGGCAAGTCTGGCCCGCGTCCCATGTTGAAGCCGACTTCTCAACCGTGATGCATGCGTTGCACCTTTTCATGCAAAGTAGCAAGCGTATTCGAAGCGGTCAACTTGGCTGTCTTCCTTTTGCCTGCCAAAACTTTTAACAGGCGATAGGTCTTCAGACAAGAGCTCCGCAGCCGTGATGTTGCCAGGTTCGCAGAGTCACGAACTTGATGGGAATCTTTTTGGGGCACTGACGCCCATGCAAACAAGTGTGTTACGATGCACATGTCTCTCATAGCGGACGAAAATGTCCAAACCGGCAGTGCAAAACACCAGAATAATCCAAAGAAAAACAAATCCTGAGTGTTGGGGATGCACAGGGTTCATGTAGTTGGTTATTAAATATGCTTGAGACTATTGAAAAGGGTTTTGCATAGTATATGGAATGGTTGGGTTTGTTGAACAGAATATGTTTCTTGAATTATGTGCATAAACTAGGAGGAGACGTTGAGTCTTCGCAGTTGGCACTGCGACGCTCGTCCTGGTTGATACTGCGTCTATACTGGCCACATTTGCCGACCTTGGCTCTTTTTCCCACGCTTGTTTTCTATTGGCAGAGCCAATAGATATGTCGCATGAGTCGACGATCTAAGGATTAGTCAAGGTTGCGCGACTCAAAGCTTGGCGCGGACCAAGGCGCCAACCACAACCCACAAGGACGCAGGCTGGTTGCGCCGTGCTCGGCATCACAAACGTAGTCATCCCAGGCACTCACGCAGCCCTTCCCCACAAAATGAAAGAATTGGATTACTCTTGTGTGTGTGGCTTTGTCACGGCGCATCAAACGAAGCCTGCAATTATTGCCCCACCCCACTCCATATATTCCGCCAAGTGCCGCAGTTTTGCGAGTGCTGATTGCCGCCCTTGCCCCACCCCCCAATAGAGCAGTAAATGTGTTGATCACATCCCGTATCATGAGTGTTCTCATTGCTCTACCCGCCGCAAAAGTGTTGTAGGTTTGCGAGCGTCAACATTGTGCCCAGCTAACCCATATTTACGAAGAGGATTTCTTCTTTGTTGTGCTAAGATATTCCAAAAGAGATCATTCACTATCTCCCAAATAGCCATTGCCAACGCTACTACTAATACTACTAGCACCTATTACTACTACTACTACTACTACTACTACTACTACTACTACTACTATTACTACTACTACTAGAACGACTATTACTAGTATTACTAGTATTACTAATATTACTGCTATTGTTATTATTATTACTATTATTACTATTACTATACAACTCACATTACGAGTATGATTGAGTGATTGATTTTGAACGATATGGATATGATATGATATGATATATTTATTAGGAATGGATTTATTATTGTTTGTATATATAGTCGTTGCAATATATTTCGAATAAAGAAAGAAATTTGATATATAAAATTGATAGTTAGTGTGTTTGGGGGATATGCTTAAAATATTGATATAATTTTAATTTGAAATTCATTTACAATAGAATTTAATAGAGTTGAATTAATTTCAAATTTGACTTAATATTTAAATTTTGATATTTGGGTTTGTTTTTTTTGGTGTGTTGAGTTGCTTCAAAAGGCAGAAGGTGGGACCTCCCCGAATCATACCCCCGAATCATACCTCCGAATTATACCCCGAATCATACCCCCGAATCACACCCCTTAAAACGAATGCTGCAAGATGCTATTGTTTTTCTACCCGTTTTATGTTGTTCACTGCCTCCACAATAACCACCACCAGCGCTACCCAATACTATCACTACCACTACTACTACTACTACTACTACTACTACTACTACTCCAGGTACTACTACTACTACTACAACTGCTACTACCACGACTACGAGTATTTCTACCACTACCACCGTTACTACCGCTGCTACTACTACTCTACTGCTTCTACTTCTGCTTCTGCTACCCTTACTACGAACTACTACTACTACTACTACTACTACTACTACTACTTCTTCTACTACTGCTACTACTACTACTACTCCTGCCGCTGCTGCTGCTACTACTCACTACTACTACATACATCAGTCTGAGTCTGTAATCAGTGCCGTTTTGCACCCGCGAATCATACCCGAATCATACCCGGAAAATGAGCTTCCCCTGCCAAGGCAAGTGCCAAGTCTTTTCAAAGCGTCCGCACCACTACAGCCGGTGCTGCTTATGCTACAGCTGCTACCACTACTTCTGCAACTGCTACTACTACCACTACTGCTACTACTACTACTAGCAGCTACTACTACATTCTGAGTTTGTAATTAGTGCTTTGCACCTAGCCGAATCAATCATACTCGCGAATCATACCCGAATCATACCCGCGTAATGAACTTGCCTTGCCAAGGCCAGCGCCAAGTCTTTCAAAGCTTCCGCGCCATTACAGTCGCTGCTTCTATTGTTATTACTACTACTACGACGACTACTACTACTACTACTGCTACTAGTACTACTACTACTACTACTACTACTACTACTACTACTGATGTTACTACTACAATACTGCTACTACTACTCCTACTACTACGACTACTACTAATTACTACTACTACTACGACTACTACTACTATCACTACTACTACTACTACTAGTACTGCTACTGCTACTACTACTACTACTATTGTTACTACTACAATATTACTACTAGTACCACTACTTCGACGACTACTGCTACTACTACAACTACTACTGTTGCTGCTGCTGATGCTTCCGCGAATCATACCCCCCGAATCATACCCCGAATCATACCCGCGAATCATACCTGCGAATTATACCCCGTACTCAAACCTTCCTGCCAGGCCCCCGTAAAAAAATACAAACCCATTTGTTTAGAATTTAGTATAAGCAGATTGGAAAATATTGAACAACAACATATATTTTTAATTGGTTGATATATTCGAATATAGTTTTTTGATTTTTGGATTGCTTCATAATTGGTTTTTAATTGATTGAAAGAATATATATGGATTTTATGATATTAATATATTAAATGTGTATTTCGCAAAATATAATTGTTTCTAAGAATAATTTTAAGGCTTTTTATATATTTGTTATATTAAAAAACAGTTATTCAAAGTTATATATTTATAATACTTAATTTATTTAATCCTTTATAAATTCATATAAGATATAGAATTAATTATATGATGTATGTTTATTGTATTTTTCCTAAACTCTTATTTAATTAACATATAAAGCATTTACTCTTTAAAACGAAACCGTGAAACTTGCTCGTCGCACTTGCGCACGTTTTCCCGGACCGCTTTTCCGAAAAATCCAGGATATTTCGGAAAATTGGTCCGGGCTGCGCCTGGAAGATGTAACCGCTTCATATTTCCTTCGGACCGCTTGCCCAAATCTGTCCGGGCTACCCCGGGCATATGTGCGGAAGACATAGCGGCTTCATTTATTGTAGGGAACAATTTCCCGAAATATTCCAGATATTTCGGGAAAGCGGTCCGGGAATCGCAGCCACCCACCATTTTCTCGAAATATTCCAGATCGTTTTCCCGAAATATTCCAAATATTTCCGGAAATGCTATCGTCGAAATATCCGGAGTGTTTCGGAAAATGGTCTGGAGTACGACTATCGAAATATCCGGGATATTTGGTCCGGGCTTTGAGCGAAGCCGTTGTGTCTTCCAGATAAAGAGTCGGGGCATATATCTGCCTGTCCATAGTTATTTTGGCTGAAATCTTGCGCCCGTCTTCTGAGAGTTTCGGCTTTGCTTGCGCCCAGGATGTTTTTTGGTCGATCGCGTTTTCGCTTGCGCTTACAACAACTGCATATGTGGATGGATCTTTTGAGGCCAACAGCCCGCGGATCCGTTCTCACCTTGCTCAGGCAATTGCTTTTCACCGACTCTTTAGCGTGACCTTATCGCGACCAGCCCGGCCCTTAGTGCATCTCGCGACCTGTGTTTGGAGAACGGCATGCTTTTCGCGTGCGAAGAGTAAAAATGTGTATGTGCCTGAGTTGCAAAAAATGTCTTGCCGGCGCGGGCTCTACGAGATTTGGTCTGTTCTTGGCACACCCACCACGGCGACGGGCTACACGACGGGACGGGGCGGCGACAATACAATACAGTTCATGACACGATGTGACACGTTGGGGCTTACACGACGGGATAGTGTGGCCCATGGGCCAGATAAACACCCGTGCGTGGCACGACGGAACCCGCGACGAAGCCATTGCGAGACTTGTGACGGGCCACACAAGACGAGTCCACGACGGATCGAATGACTGGACTGCGACAGGCCACGAAGAATGCATGAAGCTTTGTGAGATCGCGTTTTTGCAGACGCTTTGGTCTCGGTTTATGGGTTATTTTCGATGGGTTGGAATATACTGGAATTCTTTCTTATGATTGTTTTCCTTTTTTGGTACCCGCCGCAACTTACCCTTAATTGCTGGTTTGGATTGGTGGTTTGGGGCTTGAACCCCTAAATTATGTTGAAGTTAAATGGGAAATTACTCCCTAATAACCAAACCAACAATTCGCAGATCGTGCTATGCGCGTTCCGATGAGTGTATATCATGTCTCTGTGTTCGTGGTTGGTTTTTGGTGTGACCTTATTAAGCCGCCCTTAGTGACACAGTCTTCTTTTTCCAGACGTATCTAAGAACGACGAGCCCGGCCGTCAGTGCATCTCGCGACCTATGTTTGGAGAACGGCTGCGGACGCTTTGGTCTCGGTTTATTGGTTATTTTTGATGGGTTGGAATATGTTGGAATTCTTTTTCATTATTGTTTTGCATTTTTTGGCACCCGCCTTAACTTAACCCTCATTGTTGGTTTGAATTGGGAGATCGTGCCACGCACTTTGCGATGAGTGTGTATCATGTCTCTGTGTCCGTGGCTGGTTTTAGTGTGACCTTATTGGGCCGCCCTTAGTGACGTAGGCCTTTTTTTCCAGGCGCATCTGAGAGCGATCAGCGCGTCT